CCTGACTAAGGTCGAGCCCCAGGAATTGCAACATGATGGAAGAAAAAACAGCCTCCTACAAGTTGTCATCTGGCCTCCATGTGTGTACCAAACACACACAGTATCACTGCCCAGACCTTACCACAGATATGTAACTGCTGTTAAAAACATTAAACTATTGTTTTTTTCTAGACTTCTGTCACTTTTGAAAAGACAACATTTACCAAAAAGTATTATGGTTTGTGTTAAGACTTTCTCTTCACCATATTTTAAAACACGTCATCTTTTCCCAAACATACTTTCTGCACAATTCTACCTCGCTTCTTATTCTGTGACTCCAATTGCATGTGTTCTAGACATGTTCCATCTTGTCATACAGTTGCTGGATCTTTGACTCTTCTTTTTTTTTTTTTTTTTTTACAGCTCTTATGCCAGATATGGTGTCTTTAGTTGAACAAATGAACACATCTCCTGGTACATGGTATGCAGAAATTGTTGCCTTCTGGATTTTCTCTGTATCTGGTTGCAAGGATCACTGGAAGCAATTTGCAGTACATCTTTACAGTTCTATTTCAAGTGTATATTAACTCTTTAGCCTTGTGTCATAACTAGAAGTATGTTGACCTCTGGTTCTCAATCTTCCTAATGACTTAACCCTTTCCTATGGTTCTTCATATTATGGTGTCTCCAAACCATAAAATCATTTTGTTGCTACTTCATAACTGTAAATTTGCTACTGTTATGAATTATAATATAAAGATCTGATATGACCCAAAGTGGTTAAGACCCACAGGATGAGAACTGCTTTGACTCTTCTTTACTCAGACCTTTGAATATTGTTTTTCTTTCTGGGGCTAAGATATACAATTGTCACAGCTCTATCATAAGGGTTGCTAATGCTTTCCCTGGTCACCTCCAAATGCTTCAAGGCCACACAGGCAATTTCTATTTCAGTAGTGACAGCTTTCCATCGATAACTTCCAGAATCTGGCTCATCTTGAAATAAACGTCAGATAATTGCCTTTTCCTTTCAAAATTGTCCCATTTTCTCAGTTTCCTGTTTATCATGCATTTTGGGCTTCTGTCATATGAATATACAAATGTAGGTGATAGAAGAGGGAAGGTCACATTCTGCTTTAGTTCTTTGAGGAACACTGATCTGTTTGATAGGCAAGTAGATTAGCTAGATAGAACTGAACAGGGTCTTTTGAGACTGTTCAAAGCTCAGGTTAGATTTTGTTTGTTTTATTTCGTTTTTCAGACACAATCTTATTATCTATCCCTGGCTAGTCTCAAATTCACTATGGAGACCAGGTTGGCCTCAAGCTCATAGCAATCAAACTGCCCCCGAATGCTGAGTTAAAATGCATGTGCTACCACTCCAGCTGCTTTAGTCACTTTTAAATCATGCTCATGTGCCTGCTCCTTATAAGCTTGGTACATGAACTGTTCCCAAATATGACAACTGTTTTACACACAGAACTAGGGAGCTTCTCTCTACCTCTTCCCTTCTCAGGAATGTAAGCTCACATTCCAGTGGCCACTGCTGCCTCCAAGTCTGCAGTTTGGGTTGTCAAGCCTAACAGGCAATTTCTAATACAAGGACAGTCAGCTCACATGACATTAACTTCAGCCTGACTTTAGACTAAACACTGTAAAATAGGGACTCAGCTTTTAAGTTCTGAATGGCAGCTCTGCAAAACACCTACCTGTATACTTTTGTTCTTCCTGCCTTCAGGTAACAGGGCAAGGGTGGATCTATTTATAACTGACATCCCTGGTCATGGCTGGCCTAGTAGAGCATACCTGGCCATACCAGAAGTGGAGATAGAGAAAACACTGAGAAAACAGGCTCTTGAATTGTGTAATGACTCCTTAACCTCCACCCAGAATCTTGCCTAGAAATACCTGGTTTTACTCTTAAAAAGAAACAGAAGTCAGGACTGGTGCTTTCTTGATCATCTTGCCAAAGACACAAAGAGATTGGAATAAAATCATAGCTTAACATTAACACCAAAACATCACACAGACACAGCAGCATTTAATCTGGAAGCAATGAAGTTTGTACCAACCATTCCTCCAAAGAGTATCTACCAAGTACTTTGTTAAGTTCTCTTGTGTTACTTGTGTGTCCTTAGATATCTCTACATCTGCCTCATTTACATGGTCTTAGGTAGTATTCTAAGACAAAATATTGAGAATCCTTCAATATTAAAAACACAGAAAGTGGATATTTATTTCCAAGGATAAATGTGACATCCATGTCTTAACTGGTAACAATTATAAGTTCCATGTCTTGAAAGGTTCTACATGCAAGGTACCATCCTAACAACTCTATATCAATTATCCTTTGATCCTTCATAACTATTCTGTGTAACAATTTCTAAGATTAGTCTTATTTTACGGACTAAGAAAGCAGAGTTCAGAGAAGTTAAGTGGGCTGACTAAGATCAAACAGCAAATGTCAAAACTCATACAGAAACAGCAAAAGATGGGAGCACTTGAAATGATTAGACATTGTCCTTTATTGTTAGGAGAAAAACAGAAGGCTTTCTAAGCACAGATGAATAAGTGACGTTTCTAAGCCTTGAAAAATCACTCGTTTTTAATTACTCTTCCCAATAATTGCCAGCTTTCATTTTTAAGAGCTTTACTTACAGTGTTAAAATGCCAAGCAGAACAAGAATACTAAAGGCTACACTCAAAGATTCATGGGAAAGGAGCATGCGGTGCCAGTTCTCCCTGTTAAGTCATTGCACCTTTTGTCTGATTTGTTGGTAAGTATTCTGGATATGCAAGGCATCTACTAGGGAGAAGTCAGATGCATTAGACAGTGAAAAGGGGAGGCCTGTCTCACCTACCATGGATTTAGTGAAGACTTTTAGTTAACAAAACAATGTCCAGCAGTAATACACACTCTAGGGGCAGTTCTGCCCAATTTGATAAACTTTGCATAAACCCACGGGTTTCCGAGGATTATGAAATGATAGGAAAGCAAGCAGAGCCAAAGACAGATAGGTGTACAAGATGAAGTGGATACAGGAGACAGGGTCTTAACAAAAGGTATAGGTGTCTTTGTCTTTTGGTTCAAGCAGCTGTTCAATTACACACACACACACAGCCAAAACCTAAACATGGAGATATTATTAAAGGGGGAAACATAAGAAAGAATTACAGAAATGAGCAGGGGTGTGGTTCACTGAGCACAGCCTGCCATGAAACATGCACGTGTCTGAGATACTAGAATTCAGGCTGATGGTGAGCTCAAGGCCAGGCATGGTTGCTCAGCATATATGAGGCCAGTTTGGGTTATATGAAAAAACACTTGTCTATAAATATGCAAGTAACTAAATAAATACTTTTAAAACTCAAATAAAATAGCATAAATCATTGACCAATGCTGGGGAAAATGACCAGATTAGAATTGTGGGGCCAAGGCTGTTGCTTGTGTGTTTTGTGTGTGTGTCTGTGTATATGTATGTGTGTCTGTGTGTTAGCCTATGTGTATGAACACATGTCTGCTTCATGAAGGTCTGAGACCTACTAGACTGAGAAGGGGACCTGAGCAAAGCCTAGGGATACAATAACTTCTTGGCTCTCCTGTATGTCTTTCCACTTACTAGGTTTGGAACACACTCCTTCTAGAATGAGTCTTATGACTGACCACTGTTAGACATGGTGGGTCAGAAAATATGAAAGGCCAGTCTTACACACAGCATGGCGGGACAGTTATACTGCAACTTTTCTGAGGTTTTATGGCTGGCTTTAAATGAAAGAGCTTCAAGTTCCTACAGCCTGCCATGGGGAAGGAAGGCATGCCAGAGAAACTTGGAGAGAAGGTATGGCCAACACCTCCAGCATGCCTAAATGCTGACTTTCGAGACTGTCTTCTGCATTTTGCCAGTTCATTTCTTCTCCTTCAGCTACTGTTTTAAGACACATATAAGACTCCCCCAGAGAAAACACTAAGGCATAAAGGGAAGGGATGCCTCTACACCGTTTTTAGTATCTTGATGAAATTTATCATTCAAAATCTTATTCTTTACCAGTAAAGCCATCTCTGAGCAAGACCAACTGTGGGAACAGGAACCAGGAGACAGGGGTGGGGGGAGGGCAGGACTGGAGATGGAGCCCACAAAGATTCCTGAGATTCAGACTCTAGAGACTGACATCAGGGTGCGGATCTATTTTTATTGTTTAATACATAAGCTTATATATAGTTTTTCAGCCAATTAGGGCATGGTTATGTATTCAAGGGCAAATAGGAACACAACATGTGTTGTTTAGCCAAGTTTGGTTCTTCTGCCCATAAGCTTATAGGGAAGGGGCCAGATCACCCAGGGAGATTTCTGTGAAGACATGGGAAGCAGCCCCAACCCTGGCTCAGGTTTTTTTTTTTAGTCTCACCAGTGAGCTGGGAGGCATGCCTGATCATCTGATTGTATAGCCGGTAAGGTACCTATGGTGCTTCACAATTGCTCCATCCCACTTCTTCCTCAACCAGGTTTACTTTCACAACCCCCATACCAACCCTCCACTCTTTTAGGACATATCCCTTGACAGAGGTCTCCTCCTACTGCCACCAATTGCATCTGGATCCTGCCATCATCTTCAAAGCCACACAGGCATTACAACTTCACTCTGGGACTATTTAACCTTTCTTTTCATACATAAAGATTATCAAATATGTGTGCCTATCTAGTGAGGGAAGAACAGTCTAACGACATGTCAATCCGGTACAAGTGCAGCTGCACTTCATGGGAAGCGAATGTAATGTCATCCTTCAGAAAGTGAAGCCATCATTCTTTTATTTAGCTGACATAATATTTATATTCCAGTTGTGAAGTGGCAGCTACAAATAGGAGCAAAAAGAAGGTAAATTCTCTAAGGGAATCCAGCTGTAAACTCTTACCATTATAAAAGTTCGATTTATATGCAAAAAATGTGACTAATACAGTTTGGGCATCCCCATAGTAGGTCAATTTTATACACTCTTTGCAAAGAAATAAAATTAAACAAACCCTACTGTGCAGATGAGTGCTACCTCCTTGGACTCCTCAGTGCAGGATGGAGAGTTTCTGCAGAGGCGTGACCGAGCAGGTTGTTCCAGGACACCTAAAAAGAAAAAGAAGGCCATTTCAAATGGCCATTTCAGTGGCAGTTGGACAGCTTCTAGACGCAGTGTCATGAAATGCAACTGTAAAGAACACTGAGCTGGCGTGCCTGCCTTAGGAATTGTTTAGAGGGCTCTATAGCATAGGGCAGCTTTTATAACCATTGTCATTACTCTGCAGGAGGAGGATGTGGCTCAGAGGAGTGATTGTGATTCTCATAGTACCACACAAAGGCAGTGTCAGAGTGGTGCTTTACCTGTCTCATTCCAACCCCCCTCCACACACACACACAAAATTCCAAAGCCACAGACACTAGATCATTCTCTGTGATTCTTGGAAGAGTCATTATTTCCTTTATAAAATCTAACTATTTTGCTCCATATCATGATACTTGCTCTGCTCATGATGAAACTGAAATCCTTCATCCATTATCCAGCAAATATTTACAGAGGCTACAGAGCTATCACGCAGTATTTTCTATATCTCTAAACCTGAAAGTCTCACATTCTACCTGTATCCTCATAGAAGGAAAGGAGACAAATTAAATAAATATGCTTGTGCTTAAGTAATTAAATGGTGCTAAGTGCTCTGGTAAATGTTGTCCTCACCCGGCCCCCAACAGAGAGAGAGGGGGAGAGAGAGAGAGATCCGGGAGAGAGGGAGAGAGGGAAAGATTGAGACTGAGTTCTAATTTTCCAGGTCCTGAGAATGAAATAGAATTGTTAAGGACAAAGACTAAGATGGTATCATTCTGGAATGGAATGGATCAAATTCAGCAGGGGGTAGTTTACATCTAATAGGGAGACCATGAGAAGACAGTGACACAACAGGAGACTGACCCTGACGACAGAACTAAGGTGAGGCTGATGCAAGGCAAGGGACACAAAGTTTTGTTAGCATGCCATCAGAAGCCAGCAAGAAGTAGAATCCCATCCCCACACGACCAACCTGTCTATTTCCAGGGAGCCATCTCCTTGGACCATGCTCCTCATGACATTCTGTTTTCAGACTGACCATCTCAAGAGCTGCCAGACAAAACATCACAAGCTTCTCAGCTTGTGGTATGTTTTGAGTGACCCCCATGAAATGAGCACAGTGAAATCTGGGGAGATGTTTACATTTTTAAACAAGGAGAATTAAGAAAGATCTCACTAGGAATAAACATCTCAGGCAAAACCAGAATGAGATGCAGAAAGCAGACAAAAAGCCAGCTTTGAATAAAGACGTTTTCCAGGCAGAGGGTACAGAATGTGCCTGAGAATGTTGATACATTGGAAGGGAAACTGGTATGGCTGCTAAAAAGAGGACAGAGTGCCATGAGATGAGAAAGCAGGAAGCAGCAGTTCAGAACAATGGACCACTGCTGTCACTGGGGCTTTTATTTGCTGCAGAGTTTGAAGCCAATATAAGGTTTCAAGTTGAGTTGGACCAAAAGCTGGGTTACATTGTAGTAAGGTCTCTCTTGCTCTTCTGGTGAGAATAAACTGAAGACCACTAAGAAATCTCCTACAGAAACCTGAAGAGGAAAACTGCAGCCAGTCTGTGTGTACATAGTGGGGACTGGATAGCTCTAGGCTATATATTCAGAAGGCAAGATGCAAATGACTGGCAACACACTGGAGGCAGAGGTACACTCCTGACTTCTTAATGATGCAGAGGATTAAACTAGATAGTAAGACAATTCAACTCTACTAACCATCTGAAATGATCTCCCTAAGAGCCAGTCATGCCAAAGACACAGGGGACATATTTAGCAGACATGTAATAAAAAAAACAGAATAAAAAAAAAAACTCTTAAACTCAAGAAAAAGACAGAGAGAAGTACAACAGAGAAATGGGAGTTGTTCAAAGAAGAAACTATAATGAATCTTGAACTTAAGAAGCTCAGTCAGTAGTCAGCAAGAAAATGGAAATTAAAATAATAAGATTTCATTTTCCTTCCATCCTAAGTAGTTAACATGAAAAGGCCTGGCAAAATTCAATGTTGTCCAAGATGTGAGGAAAATAATGTAATATTCCAATTACTCCTGGCAGAGTCATGAATTGGAACATTATTCTAGTGAGAGCTTTTATAGTATTTATCAAAAGCAGTATCGCATACTCCATGCATAGTGATTCGACCTGGCAGATGTGCAGGGCTCGATAAACATGCATACAAGGAGGTACATGCTAAGAAGAGTATTATAACACTTTTTAATGTAACAAAACTTTGCAATGATCTAAAACCCACCCCAAAAAGGAAATGGGTAAGTAAAATTTGCTTCACATGTAGTATGCAACAGTCTGGAAAGGGAATTGGTTGGTTTTATATACATATATCAGTATACTTTTCACATCACAAATAATTATTAAGCAACAAAAAGAACTAGAAGCACAAGAACACAATCACACATATTCTAGTGGATACACACATACATATGGAAAATACAAAGAATGAATTGGAACACACCCAGATTCACAGGATTTGGGGCAGGAAGTAAATATGTCAGAGAGAATAGAGAGTGAAAGAAAAGACAGGAAATTATAGGGAATCTAGGTCCACCGATAAGCGTTTTTTAAAAGAAAAGGGAGAGAAAAAATAAAGCAAAACTCTGAAAGCAAATCTGTCCAATGAGAAAGTGCTTGTCTTGAATACTGGAAATCCGGATGTTTATGGTTTCATTTTTTGTACCGTATAGTTGTATTTTTCAAATAAAAGAAAGGAGGAAAGATGAGTGGAGAGGGCAAGGAAAAAAAAGGAAGAGAGAAGTGGGGTCAAGGAGACAGAGGGAGTAAAGGTGGGAGAAGGAAGCAAGTTTGGGTGGGTGGTTGGTAGAAAGGGCCAGCGAGGGTGAGGGAGGGTCTGGGAAGGTCAGGGATAGTCAGGGAGGACCAGGGAGGGTAAGGGAAGGTTAGAGGGGTTAAACGGGGACATGGAAGGTCAGGGAGGGTTATGAAAGGTCAGGGAAGGCCAGGAAGGGCCAGGGAGGGTCAGGGAAAGTTAGGGAGGGTAACAGAGGGTCAGAGAAGGCCATGGAGGGGTCAGGAAGGGTCAGGGAGGGTCAGGGAGGACCAGCAAGGGCCACAAAGGGTCAGGGACAGAATTCTCTGCATATCTTGGAGTGCATTTAAATTGGTCATAAGAGTTTGTTCTCTTAACAAAATTCCAAACTGTGGGGTATTTTGCTTATTTTGTTAGTGGTTCTGGGGATCAAAGCCAGGACCTCAGACATTCTAGGTGAGTGTTCTACCACCGCCTTATACCCCATTCCACAGTTCTGCTTCAGTTATCAGTAGAGATCAAGATTGATTCATCCCAGGCTGCCTCAGCATATGAACAGCATAGAAGTTCATCCAGCACAGGGAAACAAATGCCATCCGTAGGGACAACAAGCCCTGTGCCAGTGAATCCCAGAAAGCCAGCAGTAGCATCAGCACCCTTCCCCCACCTCAATTCTTGGAGCCACTAACGCCAAAGGGAAGAGAGGAACACAGGTTTGCTGACAGAGTAAACCAAAAAAGTATTCCATGGACATCTTTCCAACCTTTCGGAAATACTTGTTGCAATTTTCTAAAATCAAGGGAACAATATGCTTGATTAGTCCTCCGCCGACTTAGCAATTTTGCTTTTTTCAAATTTGTTTCCTTACAGCATGTTCATTATTAACCTTATATGTTCTAGGACTGGTGACAAGGTTTTTCTTCCTATAAAGAATCTTCACTTTCAAAAATGAGATTGCTTTGAGGATAACTCATTTTGGTCACTCATAATCAAAAGATCCTCTCTGAACCTAGGGGGTCACTTGTCAAAGGGGCTGCATTTGTGAAGAAGGGTCCTTGTCTTCCTGGAGGGAGATTCTACAGAGGAGAAAAACCTTACAGAAAATTTCACCATCATGAAATGCAAGCCTGACCTGATCCTTTGAGTTTGAACTCATAGATACCATTTGTTTCAAAGTGCATTATATACATGCTGACTTCAGAGGCCTTAGCTTATGACTTTGAAAAGGCAGCACACCCTTGAGTACTAGATCATACTAGGTCTTGCCACACAATCAGCTATGAAGCAGAAGGTACTAATCAAAGGTTGGATTTGCTCAACTGTTTGACTCATGCCATAGTCTAAATATTCAGTAACCATCATTTTGTGTATCATTATACAGATCAGTTTGTACAAATGGCTTGGACTGATTTCTAACAGGAAAACAAACAACGCAGCGGGAGATTTGTGAATAAGTCATAGATGTAAGTGTATAATTTTGTGACTTTCATTTGGACAATGCAAAACATGCTTCCACATGTAGAATACACTTTTCAGAGCTGCTTCTACACAGAATAGTTTAATTTGTCTGCCTAAGTGTTCATAATTTTGTTGTGTGCAGTGACAAACACTGAGCTTCCTACATCTCTGTAGAGACAAGCACACAGCAGCGAGCTCTCAGCAGGGGCCATCCCTACTAACAGGATGGGTGATGGTTTTCATCTCCATGAAAATGAAGAGTCCTTTGGCCTTTGGTTTTATGTTCCCATTTCTAGATAAAAACACAGCCAAAGGTTCACGGTGAAATGATGGATGATGAAGCTATTCCAAGTTGTTAAACTGTCACACTGTTTGGGATACATCAAGACACCCTAATCTGTTCTGCCAGATTATAGGCCTGGGAATGTTTTTGAAGCAAAATAGGGTCCAATCTTGCATTGTAGTTAAGGATATGGATTTGGACCCTGAAACTTGTAAGTCAAACAGGCACAGGGCTCGACCCAAGCCATTGGTCTTCACACTCATGTCCCCATTGGTAAGCAAAGTTTATAACTCTGCCTTCTCAAAGAAGTTATTAGGGGATTTCATGAATGACTCATACAAAGGGCATGCAACATGGTTAAAATCAGGACAGACATCACCATCACCTTCTGTCGTCATCGGAGTTACCATCATTATGTTTAACCAGATCTCCCTTTCCACCTATCCACCCTCATTGCCATTCAAGGTTCATTTAAAACACCACACACCGCATTTTTTGG